AGTTCAGTGGGTTCAGGTGGTTGAGTATCAGAGTGTTCCATCTCATTTCCCTTTGGGGTTGCTGTAGGTGATCTGGAAGTCTGGTTTTGAGAATTGTTTATGTGTTTTCTCATTTTGACTTGGGCGGGGGGCTGTTAGCACCTGCAGGGATTACCTCCTCTGGGCTGGGAGAGGTGGGACAGGGTTCAGGAGGAGAGGTAGGGATGGTGGCCCAAAAGCCCTTTCCTGTGGGCTGGGAACAGTGCGAGGGATGGCGGCTGGGAAGCCCCTTCCTCTGGACTAGGAGTAGTGGGAAGGCAGCTCAGAAGCCCCTACCTCTGGGCTGGGAGTGGTGGGAGGGATGGTGGCCTGCAAGCCCTTTCCTCTGGGCCAGGAGCAGTGGGACAGTGGCTCAGAAGCCCCTACCTCTGGGCCGGGAGCGGCGGGACTCAGTACCGTGGTCTGGTGGTCCGGTGTCCTCTGCGTCTTTGTAGTGTGGAACCAGGTGGCTGTACAGCGGAGCAGGGGTGGGGGTCCAGTGGATTGTTGCCAGGGCGCGGGCTGATTTGGCACGTTCAGTGAGACTGGGGACTTCGGTAGGGCATGGGCTGACCTGCCTGTCTGCAGCAGGGTGATTTGGCATCCTCCACGCGACTTGGGCCCTAGGTAGGTTGTACACAGACCTGCCTGTCTGCAGTGGGCTGATTCAGTGTGTTCCGTGTGACTCGGGACCAATATGAATGTTTCTTATGCCCCCTCGGTTTAGCCAATGACTTATTAGAGGTATCTATGAAACAAATACATGACTAAGAATAAAAATTTTATAAAACGGTATAATCACCAAAACCACCACATCACTTTACAGTGCTAAAGTCCCGGATTGCCTGAGTGATGAACAGGTGCTTTCAAGCCCTGGTGAGAGACTTGCTTACCTCCTATCCACTTATAGGTCTCAGGAGGTTCCACTGTGAAGCAACAGTGTGAAGAAGCAGAATCCTTCCTCTTGCTTCCATGTCAAGCCCACAGCTAAACTACACAGTGAATGGTGTCAGTCTGCTGATAAGAAAGCGTACTCCACATTCCTATATTGTTCCAAGATCTGGAAACACAGATAAAAGGCATCACTGCTTCTTCATTAAGACCAAGTCCTTTTCCTGGTCCAACAAGTTATCTCCCTCAGGAGAAACAGGAAATGGGAAGTTGAAGGAGACAGGGTAGCCACACTACCTGCAACAAGTGTTCAAGAAGACCGAGACATTTTTATTAATTTCTCTGTATATTCATCATTTAAACTTGTCCCCTGTCAGCTGGAACAAGACTCTATCCTTGACAGAAGAGTATAAGAAGCCAGGTGGTGGGTCTGGCCCTTCATTGGGACTGCTGCAATCCCTGGGGTCCTCTTAGCTCTCAATATTCACTTGGGAGGCTGAGGTAAGTATGAGTCCAGTGAAGGGGAAGCTCTCAACCTAGAAAAATGGGGGTAGAGGTACACTGGCAGATTTTTATGGAAGGCTATTTTAAAGTAGGGATGGAGAAGGGTGACAGAAAATGGGATATGTGATTTTTGAGCACTAGGGATCCCTAAAACCAGAGTAAAGAGAGCTGGCTTAGCTGCTACAAGGCAGTAACTTTAGCCCCTTTCTAACTGTGTGATCTTCAGGAAGTTATATACTTTAATGAATCTCAGTTTTATCTTTTGTAAAATAGAAGTTTAAAAAAATAGCTACCTCATAGCTTTGTTATAAATATTATATAATATTAATTATGAGATTAGATAGTTAAGATGTTATATAAATATTAGTAGTTAGAAATGAAAGCTTAAATTTCTGTATGGTCTGGTCACAGATCTCTTTTCTCACAGGCTTCTCAAGACAGCAAAACAAAAGATAAGCAATAGGAATCAGGGAGATAGATCTTTTGCAAATAGGAAGAGGATCCAGAGATAGAGCAAGTGAGGGGGGGAAAAGAGGGGAAGGGAAATAAAAAGAATTAAGATATGTTAAGTACATGTACCTACTCTCTAAGAAGAATGTAAAAATGATATACTATAAACATGCACCAATACAAAATGTAAATGATGTTTTATGGCTTTCTTTCAAATGTGTGTTCTGGTCAAAGTACCAACTCTCTAGAGAAATAATTAGTGACAGAAAAATAATTAGGGTTTTCTAAAAATCCCATTCATCATGATCTGGTTGAAGGAAATAAAGACCTGGTTTCATCTTTATCTGGGGAATGTCTGTAAGAATTATATCATGAATAATGTTGGGAAAACTGGATATCCACATGCAGAGGAATAAAACTAGACTCTGTCTTATACTATACACAAAGATCAACTCTACATGGATTAAAGACTTGACACTATAAAGCCCTGAGAATAAGCAATAAGGGAAAAGCTCTTTGATATTGACTTTGGCAATTATTTTTTTTGTTTTTTGTAGAGGTTTTTTTTTTTTTTTTTTCATATCACACTACTACAGGCAGCAAAGGCAAAACCAAGCAAGCGGAACTACAAAAAACTGAAAAGCTTTCTGCCAACAAAAGAAGAAATCAATAAAATGAAAAGGTAGCCTATGGGTTGAGAGAGAACTTTTTGTTGAATGTATATACAAATAAGGGGCTTATATTGAAAAATATAAGGAACTCAATAGCAAGAAAATACCCTAATTAAAAACTAGGCTAAGGATTTGATACAGTAGTACCTTTATTCACCAACTCCATTTTTCGGTTACAAACCAAACTGCACCAGAACCAAATCAAATTTTTCCCCAAGGTCAATACTGAACCTAACCTAACCATTGAATTTGATTTGGTTCTTATTCAACTTGGTTTGCAATGAGAATTGCGGAAAGAATTAAGTTTGTGAACAGAGGTACCACTTTATTTTTCTAAAGATGACATGAAAATAGCTTATAAAAAAGGGCTTATCATTAATCATCAAGGAAATGCAAATTCAAACTGCAAGAGAGATCTTATCAAATTTATTAAGATAGCCCTTACACCCCCACCAAAAATAAATTCTGGGAAAGACATAGAAGAAAGGGAACCTCTTAGACTGTTGGTAAAACTATAAAGTAGATAAATATTAAGGAAAATAGTGTGAAATTTCCTCCAAAATTAAAAGTAGAACTACCATATGATCCAACAAGCACTTTCTGATACATATCCCAGAGAAATGAAATCAACACCTCAAAAAGATATCTGCATTTTTGTGTTCATTGCAACATTAATCACAGTAACCATGATATGAAGTTTCTCTGTCTATAGATAAATGCCTAAAAATTGTAAGATACAGTACACTTATGAGTATTACTGAGCTTTGAAAAAGGAGAAACTGCCATTTGTGACAGTATACGTTAACTTGTAGGACATTGTGCTAAGTAAAATAAGCTGGATACGGGAAGAAAAATACTGCATGATCTCACATATAGCTGAAGCCTTTAAAACAAAAGTCAAGTACTTTGCAAGAGCAAGGTCCTGAATTTGATCCCTGGGTACCAAAAAAAAAAGTCAAATACATAGAAACAGAGAGAACAGTGGCTACCAGGGCAGAAAGGGGAAGGAACAAAGAATTCTTTAAATCAAAGAATATAAAATTGCAGTTATATATGATAAGTAAGTCTAAAGATCGGATGTGAAATAGGAGGGCCATAATTAATAATACTTATATTGAAAATTTCCAAAGAGAGTAGAGTTCATGTGTTCTTACCACATAACACACATTCTAAAAAAAAAGACAACAGTAATGGATATGTCAATGACGTAGGTTAAAATGTTTATCCATAGAAATTATTTCACTATGTATATGTATGTTAAAACATCATTTTGTGCACTTAAATTTATATAATAAAAAGTTATAAAAAGAAGAGGGGGAAAGGAGGAGCAATTTCTTAAGCAGGGAGAATGATTGATGATTTTCACAAGAAAATGAAGAGAATTTACTTTAGAAGGGCTTTAATTCCTTATCATATGCAAATAAATCAACACACAATGTTAAGCCCTATGCAAACCCTAAGATACAGTAAGGTCTATGTGAAAATAATTAATAACGAACAAATGGTAAATATAAAGTTGATAGAATATTTTTGTCTTACCTCTACTTTACAGATGTTGTTTACATATTCTCCCTCCAGAGAAATCTCACGCATCAACCTCACCTCTGGCTAAACTAAGCCTGTTGCTCTGAAGCACCTGGGCCAAGGCAATAGACTGCGTACCAGGACAAAACTGAGGTGCACTTTCCATCTACGATCACCATCAACCCACTCTCCTACTCTCAGGCCCTGGGCACCAGTTGAGGTCCACCTACTCCTCAGTAGGAGAGAGGCCTCAGGTGAGGAAGGAATGTGCAACTGAACACGAGCTAAAGAGCACCTGGGGGAAGGAACGAGATTCCTTAGGAGGCATTAGACAGACTCAGTCCTTTGACGGAACTCTGTTTCTCCTGCTTTCCCATTTCCCGACAACCACTTCCCCACTCTCTGTCTCTATTAATTTGCCTATTCTGGAAATTGCATATAAAGGAATCATAAAATAGTTGCCATTTCCTGTCTGGATGACCTCACTTAGCATAATATATTTAAGGTTCATCAGTGTTGTTATATGTATCAGAATTTAATTTCTTTTTGAGGATGAGTAATGTTCCATTGTGTGTACCTACTACATTTTATTTATCCACGGGTTGATGGATATTTGGGTTGTCTCCACTTTTTGGCAATGGTGAATATGCTGTGAACATCAGTGTATAAGTATTTGTTTGAGTCATTATTTTCAGATAAGCACCTAAGAGTAGAATTTCTTGATTATAGTGTAATTCTATGCTTAACTTTTTGATAAACCATTCACAGTTGCTTCACCATTTTACCTGCCTGCCAGCCATACACAAGGGTTCTAATTCTTCATTGTTTTAAATATAATAACCACCATAATTATGAAGCAGTATCTCATTTGGTTTTGATTTTCATTTCCCTGATAGCTAGCGATGCTAAACATCTTTTCATGTGCTTATATTGGCATTTGTATATCTACTTTGAAGAAATATCTATTCAAATTCTTTGTTCATTTTTCAATGATTTTAGTTGTGAGAGTTGTTTTTACATATTTTGGATATTAACCCTGTATCAAATGTTAAGATATGTGGTTTGCAAATATTTTCCCTTTCTATAGGTTGCCTTTTCACTTTCATTATTGTTGCACAGAGGTTTTTGAATCCTGATAAAGTCCATTTTATCTATTTTCTCTTTTGTTGTCCAAGCTTCTAATATATATCCAAAAAGTAGGCAGCAAATCCAATATCAGGAAAAATTTTCCTGTGTTCTCTTTTAAGAGTTGTATAGCTTTAGCTTTCATACTTGGGCCTTTGAGTCATTCTGAATTAACCATTGTATATGGTTGTTTTAGTCTGTCTTTTGTAGCTGTGATTGAATACCAAAAAATGAGTAATTTATAACAATGGAGGTTTATTTAACCCATGATTCTGGAGGTTAGTGAATCCAGAAGCATGGTGCTAGCTTCTGCTTTAGCATCTGGTGAGAGCCTTCTTACTATATGATGGCATTGAGGACAGCATCCAGCAGCAAGACAGAACAAGCATGAAAGAGAGAGCTCACTTTTATAACACCGTCTGTCCCCTTCATAACTCATCAATGCATGGACTAAGGCCAAAAAGGTCTCACTTCTCAAATGCCATTAACATATCGCCGTAGATAGTAAGTTTCAACATGAACTTCAGAAGAAACATCCAACCATGGCCATAGTAAGGATACAATTTCTTTCTTTTGCACGTTGATATATATAGTATGTCTAGCAGTATTTGTTCAAAACACTCTCCTTCTCTCATTGTCTTGACCCCGTTGTTGAAAATCAATTAAACAAGAGTTTGTTTCTGGGCTATTTTTTCCAGTGGTCTGCATATTGGCCCTTATGCCTCATATACTTTTCAACTAGATTTCCTAAATGTTAATATGTTGCTATGTTTGCTTTATATCCCTTTTCTGTTTTGTATTGTTTCTCTTTCTACACACATGCATGGACATGTGTAGATACACACACATTTTTATCTAAATTTTTTAAACCACTGTAAGTAGTTGCAGATATGAT